TCAATCACCCTTTCTTATCTAATGTCTTTGTTACAACTGAAATACATCAAGCTTGACACTCATTTGTTTATCATGCAATCAGGTTGTCCCTTCGTTCATTCACGTTTGCTACATACATGTACATGTACATGTATATGTTTTGTACGAGAACATTTTGTTTCAGTTTCATATTCATGGACATGAAAACGTATCCTTGAAAAGTTACAAACCAATTAATTCAATTCAATTCCCTCCAGACTACTTCTACTACTACTTCTACTACTACTACTACTACTACTACTACTACTACTACTACTACTACTACTACTACTACTACTGTACTACTACTACTGCTACTACTACTACTACTACTATTACTACTAATACTAATACCACCACCACCACCACCACCACCACTACTACTTATAATACTACTACTACTACCACCACCACCACCACCACTACTACTACTACTACCACCACCACCACCACCACTACTACTAATACTACTACTACTATATACTTCTACTACCGGTTTTTACTATTCGATAAGAGAGGCAATGTCAACTAAAAACAGATGAAATCATAGTTTAAGCAGAATTCTTGTTGCCATAATGTTAAGATCATCATCATCATCATCATCCTCATCATCATAATTATTCAAGAAGAATTCTAAGGATATATCACCCGAGCTCCGATGTTGGCATCCTTGATAATATCTCGACTGAAGATAGGGGTGTTGTCTTTCTTCAGCAAAGATTCGAATAAACGACGATTCGGTGATATATCAGACATTCTGTAACAAAAGAATAATATTTCGATGACTTAACCGTATCGAATATACATCTAATGTCAATTTTAGTGGATGAGCACACGAACAAGCAAAGGCACGTGAGATGACTTCAATGATTTCAGTCAGTTGAGCTTTTTAGAGTTAACGTTATTAGTAATTTCAACTATTTTAAGTTTTGATTAAACATTATAGTGATCTAGCATTCAAACACTCAAAGTATGTTGATCTTTGAAATCGAGATTGTAACAAAACAATGTTCTTACCTGAATTTGATCATCAAAAAAGATATTGATAAACACGATATATTATGCGGCTGTATAGCTTGAACACAATAACAATGTGAAGCATACCAAACAATGTGTTACTGGGGAAAGCCTCCCTCCCAGAAGATACGCGTACAGAGTTACGTCATAATGGTCACAATACGTTCGTGCGCACAGACCCTTATGTTTACAAACTTTAAACCAATCAGGGTAGAGAATTCGTGGTTAAATCATATCTAAGTTTGTTGACCCTACGCCAATGCCCTTAGCTTTGGGCATGCACAAATCATGACGCGTTATGCGCATGTGCCCCCCAACTCATGAATATGCAACAGGCAAGCTTTGCGAGGCGATCACACGTGTATTCCGGCATGTATTATAGCTGGGAGAAAGGGAGAAAGGGAAAGAGGCAGGACGGAGACGGATTTGAATTTCAAACCTGAAACCAAGACGACAGTGGCCATACATGAAGTTTAATAGCCGAATGTATAAATTATGGAAAATATATTTTTTAACATGAAATACGAAGTGAAGGCAAAAAGGTATATTTCCAGCAACCTGCCCTATGTGAGGCCCGAACAGACGACCTTCAAATCATGAGACTCACTCGCTGCCGACTATGCCAACAAGGCTGCTGTTATTGAAGAGATACACGGACACCAGTTTTCTTATTAAACCCGTTCGCTGTTCCTTTTCATTTCCCGCTAAATATTTATCCACATAGACCTCTACACACAATTCTACAGACTTTCAAGAACTTAAGCAGTTACAATACTAAAGAGACTCGGTAACATTGTTGAAAATTAATACAAAAATGCATAATTTGTGTATAAAATGTAACTTATTATTTCCTTCTGCTGTACTAACCCCAACATGTACAAATAATATCAGTATCATCATCGAGTCACTACACAAGCCCGGGCCTGGACGCAGAACCTATAGCATACCTTGACGTCGAACACTTCCAGGTCTTTGCAGCTGTGGTGTGGGGATATAATTAAAGGGATCTGGGAGGAGGGAAAGGTGTTCGTTTTTTCGTCTGTTCCTCCCAACTTTCGCAGATAGTTCCTCTTTCTTTTTTTGTAGTTCTACACATAGATACGACTCAACATGAGTTTCGAAGACAGAGAGGGGACGGTACCGCCTAAGACCACGTATAACCCTCAAGATGCGAAGGTCGAGAGTTCGAATCCCGACACGACACTGTGGCAAGATATTAACCAGCACTTGCCACTCTCCACCCATGTGTAAAATGGGTACTATACTTGCCGCGGGAGGTGCCTTTCTTTTTCTGCATTCTGCATTCTTAATTTTACACTTATATACGCAGGATAAAATAATTTACTGATTTGCTTATAACAGATGGTGATCATAATTCTCTCCAAAAATAATTTCACATCACTTCGTTTTTTTGTAATAGTTTTAAGAGGAAATTTAGGAAACTTCTCTTGTTAATTCAATTTTCACTCTAAAATTCTTGAGAAGACCGCTTTTGTCTTTAATGCATGCATGGTATCCGTGATTCTATGTCTAATTATATGCATCCGCTTTGTGTGTATCTGTTTTTATTTGTACGTGTCTATGCTTTTATTGGAATTTGATTTAATTGAAAACTGACTGAAATGTATTCAAATCAAAAGATTGGTAAACTTTATACAATCTAGCCATAAAATGACCGAATCGGTTAAAGAGAAGGTTGAGTTCTGGGGAGAGGTGAAAAAATTATTTGTGAGCGTTATTATGCAAGTGTGAAAGTACATCAGAGAAAATAAATGTTCCCTAAAAAGCATGGCTCTTCAAATGCCATCATATTCTAAATATGACATGTAACAGGTAGGATTGCAGCCCTTTCACATTCCCGCTTCCTCTCTTTCTTCCCATCTCTAGTGATTTCTCTCTCTCTTTCTCTCTCTCTCTCTCTCTCTCTCTCTCCCTTTTTCTCTTTTTTCCCCTCTCTCTCTTTCCCTCCTCCTCCTCTCTCTCTCTTCCCCCTCTCTCTCTCTTCCCCGCCTCCCTCTCTCTCTCTCTCTCTCTCTCTCTCTCTCTCTCTCTTCCCCGCCTCCCTCTCTTTCTCTATCTCCCTTTCTCTCTCTCTTTCCCTCCCTCTCTCCCCCTCTCTCTATCTTCCCCTCTCCTTCTTGACGCCTCCTCTTTCTCTCTCTGTTTTCTTTATATAATTAAGTAGGCTAATGTATGTTTTATTTAAGGCGTCATTAGACGAACATTAGAAGTGGAAACTTAATCATTGTCATTAAGAGAACAACTTTTTTGTCCTCTTAACGTTTGCACGTTTTATTTCTCATATAAGGCCTATTTTTATATCTGTTTACAGCTATTGAAAGATTTGAAACCGAAATTCGTCAATGTGACTAGAAATCAAGTAACTTTTAGCAGCGTAGATTTATTAGAATCTAACAATATTTGAATAGATTCTCGTTAGGTGACCCTCGTATAGAGTCTATTCACATTCGAATAAATATGACATTTCAGAGTACGAATATTGGCGTGATGCAAAAATGCTAATAAGTCCAAGAATACTATGTATAAATTTATTGATGTCACTGAAATCTTCGTCGCATTATATATATGCATGTATAAATAGCCACCATGTCTATCTAGTGCTTAACAATTTTGAAGATATCTATTTATGTGCGTGTGTTCTTTGAACTGAAACTCTGGCACGACATAACGCAAAATTGTAGAGTTGATTGGCTTGGCGGTGTACCACAATATTGGACGACTTGGTATACACAAAACATAAATGCCTGGCAGAGCGGTGCAACATTTCCTGCAAGTGTCAGGGTGGCTATACATAGGTATTTTTTATTGACATTTTAGTTATTTTTAGTTTGGTATGTTATAATGGAACACAGGAGACTAGCGGCATTAGCATCGGTTATGGTAACCAATCGGCACAGGTCTTACGTATTCTAATATTCTTCTTCAATATTCTAATTAGTTTCCCTCATAATGTGAAATCAGAAAGAGAATAATAATAATAATAATAATAATAATAATAATAGCCTAATAGTCCACTCCAAATTTTTATTAAACCGAAACGGAAATTCTTTTTGCCCAATTGATCGTGAGCCCGGCAGCCAGATCGACGTTGCTCTATCCCTATTGTTGAACGCCAAACAAGGTAGCAACAACAATGTTCTTGGTTGTAGGAACTCGTTGAGAAATATTTTATGCTAAATTTTCGATGGGAAAAGTAAGTTTATTTTCTTTTACCGCTTCAAAACATCAAGGAAATGCCCAAAGTATGTTAAAACTGAAAATCTTTGATTTCAATCTACCATATCTTTTGATTCCGAACACGCATATTCATATATATTATAAACATATTTAAAGAAATGAGAGCCAAGTAGTAAAGATGGGCCACTGCCAGATGTGGTTTATATGAATCAGTCCAGTGTCTAGGCAGCGTCTAGGCTTCGCGTTCGTGTTCACTGGTGCGGAACATATGACCGATCATCTCTACCCTGATAGAAGGTGTGGTTTGATAGTCATGAATTATAGTCTTCCACACATCATGACATCCAAAGAACCAGACTCGTATCCACTCTTGCCACTTTCACTCTTTTCCTTTTTTCGCTGTAATATCTATAAAGTCTCCACTCGGACGGCAGGGATGAGTATATTCTACCAAACTTCTTTTGTACTCGATATAATATTTCAAAGGAAGAAATGAAGAAAAAGAAGTTCTTCTAAAATTTATATTAAAGTTTCCTCAAGTTGTCCTTGTATATATTTCCAAATTATATTCATGTTCATAAACATCTGTAATACGAAATAGTCGATCGAAGCTTCCTTATTTCCCTTTAACGTTTTCATATACGTTTTAAAATGTATCAAATCATTCGCCTTTATTCTATAGTCCATCGTATGAATCGAATCTGTCTCTTTCAGAGTTCAAACAAACTACGATCGCAATGTAAGAATCAGACGACAGCACCGATCCATTAACGATAGCTGTGGATAATCGTTTCGTTTTCGTTGGCGAGTATGGCGAATCGCATAACCGGAAACCGCATTGGGTCGATGTATTCGTATTTATGTTCGTCTTCTCCTTTCGGTTTTGGCTTGCGGCTTGATTTCGTCAAGCTGGCGGTAGCAATAGGCGTCATATACACGTCATCCTGTTGTAAAAAAAAAATAATAATAATGAGAGGCATTCGAAAACATAGAAGTTATTTAACTAGTAAGGCACTTTATATACAATAATTACCCTGGTGTTAAAGGGATAACGTGCGATTTTCAAAGTGGCTAGATTTAGATCTGGGCCTGTTCGCCTGGCTGGAATGCTCAAAAATTGGAATGGATAATGTGCGTAACACAGTGTAAAATCGACATTTAATCTAATTACCAAGCTAATAATTTCCCGTAAAGCCTTTGATCACCATTTTCAAAAGGCATTATTTCAAAAGGCATAAAATACAACACAGTTCAAATTTTAAAAAAATGCAAATCACATGTGATAAACAGAGAGTAGAGAAGGGAGACAGATATATATTATATGCGTGAAGAAAATGGTCTAGGGACGTGAGACGTAGCTGTACTTAACACGTTTATTACGAGTTGAGAATTTTCGCACTTATAAATGGAGAGTCTGGTAGAATGATAAAGTAAGAGAGAGAGAGAGAGAAGGAGAGAGAGAAAGAGAGAGAGAGAGAAAGAGAGAGAGAGAGAGGGGGGAGACGGTGTAAGATAAAGAGAGAGATTATATTAGAAAAGGAAGTTGACGACTCATGAAATAGATCATTTCCTATTTTCACGTATAACCTATGTTTTTTCAATTTTTGATATCAGATTGAAAGTATCATTTATGTATTGGGAGTGCGTTATAACACATAGTACGAGGAACCTGATCGAAAAGACTTTCACAAATCAGGTCAAGTGCAATCCCAATACTCTAGTGTATATCCCATATACATTATGTTCCGATTACGTAATAGGTAAATACAATATTCGCGTGATAGGCGAGGCTAGCGAAAATAAGAGACTTTGCGATTTTATAGAGGTAACCTGATATTTGGACCACTAATGCCAATTGCATATTAAACGTCACTTTGATTGAGTTACTACCTACGCTCATTAAGCCTGTGAACGCAGTTCATGAGTGCGTCAATATGGCAGGTCAAAGACCAGTTGGTGACGTAGTCTTGCGCCAATAAAAACGCGCGTTGTGTGCACTCCATTGTAACTGGATTTGTTGGATATGAATAATCGTCCCGTGTGAATTAAGAGCACACGCTGTGATATTATAGCAAGGTTTATTTGAAGGATTGAAAAGAGTCTACAAAAACCATAAAAGTCGTCTTCATGAGGTCAAAATGGGATTCCCCTCCCCTTCTTATTACCATAAGTTTCTTTCCGTTCCCGTTTCCTTTGAGATCACTGACGCGCACTGACCGACGAGAGAAAGCCACGGTGTCCCTCAGCGTCGATAACTCATTGTTCTTCTGCGCACGCATCCTCTTTCGAAATTTTCGAAATCTGACCACGCCCACAAATAGACCAGCCAATAGGAGGAGCCCAACGAACACGCCCATAATGCTCAGGCCAACTTTCGGTCCGTGGATACTACTCCGACCATGAGCGAGGAGAGCTGAAAAGGAACAGAGAAAATACAAATGTAAACGCAACGCATCAAATCATGGGCAATCACAATACCGATTGCATTAGAATAGGAATTTCTTCAAAATGATGCAACTATTCAGAATTAGAATACTCGGTAAGTACAAGTATTTTTCCATTCTTTTTTTAAACAATAAACGCAGGCGCCCAATTAAAAAAAGAAGAATTACGCTTGCTGGTAGTATTGATCATCATCATGTTGATGATGTTGATGCTACTATTAATATTGCTGCTATTTCTTATAATAATAATAATAATGATAATTATAATAATGATAATAATAATAATAATAATAATAACAGTAGGCTACCAGATAATAATGATAATGATAATGATAATATTAATAATGATAATAATGACAATATTGATAATAATAACAAGAATAATGATATATAATACCTGGTGGTTCCTCTTGAGTTGACACAATAATTGGATCACACCAGTCACCAGGAGCTACATCGTTCACCGTCCGAACCTATAAGGCCAATAAATTCATAAAGATCAATTCTCATTTGACTGCATCCGAAAAAACTATAAATTGTCAAAGTTATAATTTATGAAAGCAACTTGAAACAATATGTTTATGGCGTTCAAACTTCTTAAAAAGTGAATTGTTACCTTGTAATTTCAACAATACACATAATCATGAAATTCGATTTTTGTAATTTTTCTTTGTTTGGCAAGGGTGTATCAAAATATGATAATAAGTGGCTGCGCACTTTCAAACTGTTATTACCCTGGAATAAGACCCAGCCGCCCTAATCACCATAAACTGCATTTCAAGAAATTTGTTACTCGTTTACAGATTAAAGTTTTTTTTTTCTTCTCGGAAGTGTCGAGGTGCGGTTGTTTAAATTGACTCTTAACCTAAGGGCCTAGGGTTCGAATCCAAGCCCGACACTAACGTCATTTGGCCAGACATTAATTCACATTTACCCGCGCTTTACGCCGTCGAGTCTGAAAGGGCTTCAGCAGAACAAAAAAAACTAACTAATTTGTTAATATATGACGCGGCAAAATCACGTTGGATTTTTGTTTTGATGATGTAATGTTTAATCCACTTCACATTTCCATATCGCGCAAGCCCTCTTGTCCCGCGCAGTTGCCATTCATTTAACACGTAAAGAAAAAACCGAGGTGGTATTCTTTTTTGCGCGGTTTTACCGCACCATAAGAAAAACACTGCGATGGTATTCTTTTTTTTTGCGGCAGTTTACCGCACCATATTTGAACAAGCCTTCACTCACCTTGAAGGAATACGAAAGGTTAGCTACAAGACCTTTCAGCTCATACTTCATCTCTAACGATGTATTGTTGATTTGAATGGAGTGTGATTCAGCAAGATCATCGTTGTGATCAGCCCAAAACTTGTATTGGAGCTCAAAAAATCTGTCATACGAGAGAGAAAAAATAGAGAAAGTTATACATGAGTATTTGAATAAAGGTTAAGGATTTGAGTGATTGATGATTTATTCTACGCAACTGCTTAAGCCTCGTTGGGAAAGGAAGAAAAGAAAAAGAGAGAGAGAGAGAGAGAGGGGGAGGGGTCGTTGGAGGAGGGGAGGGAGAGGAAGGTAGAGAGAGGATGTGTAGGGTGTGCGTGGAGTTGTGTGTGGAGGGTGACAGAGAGAATTGTAGGGAGAAAGAACTTATTTTACAGGATTTAAAGAAGAAAGAGAAAGAGGATGTGAGTGAATGAGGGAGAGAGGAGACAATATGAGAGAGGGAGAGAATGTTAAGGGGGACGAGAGAGGGATAGCAGCGTCTGGAATTCCCCGCTTCATGTGGACTAAACCAATTTCAAGTTGTTGTAGCGCTTCAAAAAGGGGGAAGAGGCTTCATCTGCTCAACCCCATATTGAACTCCCCAGTAGCTAGAAAACTGACCTTATTTTCCCGTTGATATTTGATGGCGAAGGAGTTTCCCAGGAAATCAGAGCGCTCTCTTTGGTTGGCTGTTCAACAGTCAGATGAATAGGAGGAGGTGGAACTGAAATTGATTTGAAATTTACCGCAAATGAACGAGAGGTGCAGGGATAACTCATTTTCAGATATTAGAATGATGTGATTCATGACATCTATTTTTTAAAAATACAATATTATACAGTGCGTCTCAAAAAAAAGTTTACAGTTGAAGAAATCTCTTACCGAATAAATATTTCATTTAGGCCCATCATACACACTGAGGTTATAGTGTATATTGTCGGAAAGAAAGTAACCTTTAACACGACCATTTTCGAACTTGGGTAGCCTCTAAATCATGCTGTTAGATATAATCTTACAATATATTTGAAGAATATATCTCCCTACTTACAATGAAAAAACACTTCTACTGTAGTTAGTTATTGTGGAAAATATACTATATGAATGACTTTCGAGGGGGAAGTAAAGTTCATAGGTTTTCTCGAAGAATTATCATAAACCATATTTTACAAGACACGTGGAAATACGCAATTAGGCCACACAAAAAAAAACATGTTTGGCGTCGTGCCTTTTTAAAAAATAGGAAGGAGGAGGCCTTTTTTTTCTTTTTTTTTCTTTTTCAAAATGGCCGCTCGGTACATTTGCCCTGACAGTCGCGCTATTTTTCAAGATGGCCGCCTGCATTTTTTTAAAAATCAGAAATTGATCAATTTTAGCAGTGTTTTTCATGTGTTTTTTCTTTTAAAAAAAAATTTAAAAAGGAGGCGGCCCCAAAAAAGGAAGCGGGCGTGGACGCTAAACATGTTTATTTTTTTAATGGCCTTATAGCTTAATTGACAAAAGTAACAATAGCTTATTTTCTATATTAAATATGTCCATAATGTGCATTTTAGCCCCGTGCACTGATAAAGCCGAAACATTATGAAAACCTCAACCACTTGTTCATAATGATATTCTATAACTCACTTTCTTGCGGAGAGAAAACCATGACTTCTTCGCTTCTTTCCCCTTCTCCCGCTTCATTTAATAAACTTATACTGACGAGGTATTTGGTGTAGACGTGTAGTCCAGTCACTACTTGGTTGGTGACTGTAGGAGTGAATAGTCGCAGCGTCCCCGTTTCGCTGTGGGCCGAGTCTATCTCTCGATAATAAATATTGAATCCCACCAGACCAGATGGGCATCGTATGACGGTTGGATCAGGAGTCTAACAGTGCGAAATAAATAAACGTTTTGAAAAAATGTTTACAAGAAAGAGATAAAGCATAATGATTGCGTAATATTTTTCTACTAATATTTTGTTTGTTTTTTAATATTTTATTTATATTCTTTTATAGACGGTAAAAAGCCACAACATTGGCAAGACCGGTTTCCATTTGGGCCGTATCAAACATTGAAGAAAAAAAAAATATTGTGAATCTGATAAATAAAAAATGATAATGATATAGTCGTACATATAGGTAGATCAAAAGAAAATGAAAAGTTTTGTCACAAAAGGCAATAATATTACACAGTCATATAACAATATATAGAAATGATGTGATGTGAATAGAAAATACGTCATCCCCGCTCATTACATTGTCTTCATTCACCTAGTTAGACCGCTACACCCGCCCACCCCACCCCTCCACAGACCCCTCCCCAGGACGTCGATCAATTACATGTATGTGCCCCCCCCCCCCCAAAAAAAAAAAAAAAAAAAAAAAACTCTGGCTACGGCCCTGCCCCTCCATCCCATGACACAAGTGTCTCCTAGATGGCCACACCCATGCTGTGCCACCGGTTATCAATTTAATAATTTTGTCATGATTGACATAGCCAGCAACCTGCCAAGCGACTAAGATCTGTCCTGGAAACTTCGTATCGCTGGATGCTATCACAGTAGGTGGTCGACTCGGCACTGCAATTGGAAGGAGAAGAAGATCTTAATTCCATTCAACTCAATTGTATTGTATTGCATTGTATTAGTATTATTTCATTTTACTTTGTTGCTTTTAAGGTATTGAACATGTTCAATAATTATAAGTTAGACAGTACCACCTGTGCTGTTAGAAACGTCTGTATAAAGCGCCCTATAAATGTAATTATTATTATTATTATTATCTTAATGTATCTATATTTCCTTAACAAGAAAGTAAGTTCATAAACACAAAAGTAGTAACGGTTACAGCACTTGTTCATGTATCAAAAGAACCCGCTTAATTTTATAAAAACGTTTCAGCATTTTGTAAAGACTGTCAATGGTACTCAAATGCTTTTACATTCAGTACCCAATTTTAAGCTTCTTATTTAGGGTTGGTCAGTTTTAATTGTTATTAGACTGTTATAGGTAGCTTTATATTGTTATAAAACTGCAGTCTTCATTATTGATGCAATCTCTACTAAATCTTTACGCCAGCTCTAGTCAAGTTTATGATGAAATTTGTCGTTTGCATCATTTCCTGACGCGAACACCGTACCGCACAGTATATAGTCCTACATCTGCAAGATAACGCCTCGTGTGCAAAGGACATACGTATTTATGTTTAATCTTTCAGGTATTTAGATGATCTTTTATGATTGTTTAAACCCATTACCTTGGCAGAAAGTCCGGACAGTCGTCCAAGGGCTAGGCAATCCTTCACCTCCTAGCCCCTCCCTCACACCCACCACACTGACGTCATACCACGTGTGAGGTTGAAGGTCACGCTGCGTTGCCGACGTGCGGATCGCCGGTATTCGATCGCCCCTCATCCAATCGTTTCTTCCGTTCAGACGGTAGAGCACGACGTAAGCAACGAGAGGCGGGTCTCCGGTATGGTCCGGTCCGGTAGAGCTCCACGGCTGCCATCGCAGGGAGATGCTGGTAACTGTTTGCTCCGTGATTATCGGTGGATTGGCCATCACAGGTAGAACTGGGGAATCAATTCAAAAAAATAATTCATTTATGTTTCATTAACTTAGCTCTGTAGTTATCTACTTAATATATTTTAAACAGAAAGGATGCCAACTAAAACGGTCAGAAAATGATATTAAGAGTTGATTTATCAAACTTTTAAGGTATCCATATGTTACTGCCCATTGTACAAAATGTGCGGTTCTGGTTTTGTAATTACGACCGTAATTACCTACGGTACACCAATCAAGCCTATGAAGAATATTAGGAACATGCGTCCATAACTCAAAAGTTTGCACTTAGCATTTGTATAAGTTTATGAAATATGGGCCCAGTCAGATGAGACTATTCTGGGTTTTCATCAACTTACCGTACGTGTCTGCTGGAACCTCTCTGCGCGCCAGAACCTCTCCATTGGCGCCCATCACAACGCATCTCAACGTCTCGTCTGGTCTTATACCGTCCACACCAAACATGACTGTTTCGCTTCCAGGCTCTACCACGGTACCCAGCCGGAGCACCCCGGCCTGGCTCTCACCCCCGGAGATGCGGTAGAGCACAACGGTAGAAGCCGATGGAAGAATGGCAGATGGGCTTCTCGAAAACGATGCCAACGACGACGATGACGATGAGAGTGACATGGACGATGTAATGGTGCAATTGAAGGAGGCTGTCTGTCCCGTGTTTACTCTGGTTGTCGTCACGCTCGAGATACCTAGAATAAAAAACGATGGGAATAATTCAGGGATGCATAAAGTTTCGAAAGAAACTCCATATATATATTTCCTATTATCGGACCCATATTAAACATAGGAACTCTTGGAAGAAAACCAGTTGAATAATTCATTCGACTACATGCTTGAATTAATTTCTCTTGTATAATTTCATTTATTTATGTATTTATGTATTTGTTTTTCCGAAATATTTAGTTACACTGGATAACAAGATACATTTTAACTTGTTTTACACCGTGGTCATGGTATTTAAGACGTCCACTCAAAATAGACTTTAAACAATATAGTTAATTGAGCCATTACCTATTTCAAAATGGTAATCACAGGAAACATGAGAAATTGCATAATATCTACAAAATAATTAATCCAATCAACATGTGGGGGACTATGTTATATTGATTAAAGCTATTGACTCTCTTTCAGATGTCTTTGGTTCGATTCTCGCTCTGTGCTTACACCCTTGTCCCTCTAAATCCAGGTGTCAATGGGAATATGGCAATGGCAATATACATTGCAGGGCCAATATGAAGACCAGCAGGAATGCTGATAAGGCTACCCTGGGTAAATAAGACGCATTTATTAGTTTTCCTTGATATTGAAAAGAGGGAAATAGATGTTTTCCTACCTGCATGACATGTAGGCTTGATGAACCGATCAAAACATCTCCCACTACATTCTCCAGTTTCCGGATGGCATGCATCGGCATGGCAAGGGCAGGTATGCGAGCATCCAATACCGAATGTACCAGGCCGACAACCTGCATGACAGTGTGAAAATTATGTATTTTATTTATTTATTGATTAAATTATCGATTTAGTTCGTTCATTTATTAGTTTAAAATGTTTTTTATTATTTATTTACACATTTTATTTATTTCTTAATTGTTTTATTTATTTATAAAAATAGGCATTTATTTATTGAGCTATTTGTTTATTATACATTTAAACCACCATTTTAAGACACCGCTCTCCATAATAATTCATTAGCAGCATATTAAGTAAGCCCTCATAAATGTCCTCATAAACTTTTGAACATGTCAATATACTAGAGTGAAAGAAAGCGGATTTGCAACATGACAAACTTGCAATATAACATTTTGAAGAGCTAGAATAAGAACTTGATTTCGAACAGATGCTAAACAGTAGAGATATATAGATAGATTTCTGGTGCTCAACAACATATACATAATGCTAGATATAGATAAGCGCATGCAAAGACATCCAAGTCTATTTTGCTCTTTATAAATTCATTGTTTAAGAACAAAATGGAATACTAAAGTAAGTACAAAGAGAAAGAGAATATTGAGACGGAGAATCAAACATATAATAACAAATAGTCAAACTACTTTAGAACGGAGCATGGTAAATGTAATACCTGAGCAATGTTGACCATCGTCGTATACAGCAAACCCAGGAGCACATCGTTTCTGAGGACATTTGCCGCTCACCTTATCACACGCCACGCCGTTGTCACAGTAACACTTACTAAGACACGCCGCTCCAAAATACCCCTTTGGACAGACATCAGGAACTAAAGAAGGTGACATAAAGGAAGGTGAAGAATGATGGATGCCTTTATTGTGATATATAAACAGTCAGGTTGATATTATTTGCTCGTAAAATAGTATTGCTTATCATCGATTTATCCCTATTGCACTTTTTGAATTTCAGCGCAAGTTAATAGGCAAGAAATACTTCATGGTTTTCTTCAATGAGAACAATAAAATAATACATGTTTTAATTTCAAATACCGAGATACTGTTAAATTCCTGAAGATGTTTTGTTGAAATATAATTTTGACTTAAATGCTAATTCACTATTTATACTTAGTATCATCATTGCTAATTAATTTTCAAATGTTTGCCGAAACAGCTAGTTATAGGCACAGTCAGTTTTATAAAATCGTACGGTGGGTTTCCGTACATATCAAAATATATGACACAAGTACAATAACAAATGACCACAGAGTAATTACACATCAGACAAATACGAACCTTGACAATTCACCCCTGACCAACCGCGAGAACAACCCGATGGTGATCCGAGGCATTGACCTGTAAACCGGTCACAGTGACCCGACGCGCAGTGACACGATTGAAGACACCCGGCACCGTATTGACCTGCATCACAATCTACATGGGAAAAGAAATGGACGTCAGACCTTACTTTTAGTTTCAATGAATCATTTACAGTGGCATCGTTAAGGTCTATGCCTAGCTCTCAAGGTTAGTGTCTGATAATATGTTTGCAATTACAGTGTAACGAAAGATGGTATAATTTCAATACGAGAGGATGATGATCAGGATAAATAAGATGAAACATACTTCGTCACCATTTGTTGTGGGAATGATGTCATCTTCGTCACCCTGTCTTGATGGAATTATATCTTCGTCACCATGTGTTGATGGTATGATATCATCTTCGTCACCCTGTATTGATGGTATGATATCATCTTCGTCACCCTGTCTTGATGTTATGATATCACGTTCGTCACCCTGTCTTGATGGTATAATATCATCTTCGTCACCCTGTCTTCATGTTATGATATCATCTTCGTCACCCTGTCTGGATGGTATGATATCAAAAGTCCTTCGTCATCCTGTCTTGATGGTTAATATCATAATCGTCAGCCTTTCTTGGTGATGTATCATCTTGATGAAACAAATTTCGTCACCCTGTCTTGATGGAAATATAGCATATCCGTCACCCTATCTTGATGATATGATATCATCTTCGTCACCCTGTCTTGATATTATGATATCATCTTCGTCACCCTGTCTTGTTGATATATCATCTTCGTCACCCTGTTTTGATGATATATCATATTCACCATCCTGTCTTCATGTTATGATATCATCTTCGTCACCCTGTCTGGATGGTATGATATCAAAAGTCCTTCGTCATCCTGTCTTGATGGTTAATATCATAATCGTCAGCCTTTCTTGGTGATGTATCATCTTGATGAAACAAATTTCGTCACCTTGTCTTGATGGAAATATAGCATATCCGTCACCCTATCTTGATGGTATTATATCATTTACGTCACCCTGTCTTGTTGGTGTGATAATATATTCTACACACTGTCAAAGACCTCAATCTTTTGTGGGATGACGCCCTTACGTGGCTCTTTAACTCTGATTTGTCACTGTAACTGCAAAATGTCATACAAAAGAAAAATATCCCCATCTCATCTTCTCCCCATGTCCTGTTGTGACCTACCTGCTTCACATCGAAGTCCCTTAAATCCAGCATTACAGGTGCAGCCAAATGGGTCTGGAAGGCAAAATTGACTACCTCGGCATGAGACAGATTCGTCAACTGATGATGAACATCGAAACTCGCACGAAACACCAAAGCTGTTGAAACCACATGCTGAAAATATGAATATTATTTATTCCATTAACTATTCTAGGTATATTAATGGATTCGATGAACGATGAAGACGACTACATGTATCGTGATTTTCTTATACCATAATACATATTTATCGGTCATCAGTTATCGGTCAGTTTGAATTCAGTTTGACGGTATCACTGCGGTATAGTTCCGACTAAGAATTGTCCTATTAAAAGTCTACACATTATGTCACGTTGTAAAATAGACTTTGCTTGGTTATTGTCCAAAATGACAGTTATCGCTCTTTGAGGAGGTCAAGAAGAAGAGTACCTTGTTCGCAGTGCTCTCCGGTGAAGCCGG